ACTTAGCCTTCCATCCTTCCGAGGAGGGTAAAATGAGGACCCAGATTGTTGGGGGGAATATGCTGACTCTCTGTAAACCGCTTAGAGAGGCCTGAAAGGCCTATGAAGCGGTATATAAGTCTACTGCTATTGCTATTGCTATTGGTGCAGAAATTGAAGAACCAATTAAGGCACCCATTTGGAAATTTGGAAACTCTTGAGTTGTAGTCCTGTTCTAGGCACAAAACCAGCTGGGTGAATTTGGATCAGTCCCCCTCTCAGTCTAGGAAGGAGGCCATGACAAACCACTTTCAAGAGAACCTTCCAAAAAAAATACAGTGACCAATCCAGTCAGTCGCTAGGAATTAACACCGAATATTTTGAAAATATTTCTACGAAAAGACTAGTCCAGAATAATTGCCAAAGTCAAGACTGACTTGAAGAAAGGGGGGGAAATTGTACAATTTTTTTGTGAATTGTTCGTTTACTGTATTAAGCAATGTATTGTATTAAATTATTTGCTTTCTTTTCAAAACAGCCTCAAGTTAAGGATGAACGAGATAATAGTCTGAAACTTGCAGAATTTAAATTATTGTTAATAGCTGCTGCTGTCAAGATGTTATCAGATGGGTCACTGAATGCTTCAGTTAAATTAACAAATTGCACTTTAGATGATAAACGAGAAACTGTACAGAAGGCTACACCAAGGTACTCATTTTTTTCCAAAACAATAAAACTTAAAATTGTTAACTTACGTTGAATTTATGCTGACAGTACCAAAAAATATGTGCTTACAAATATTAAGTGAGATAAAAAAAATGATACTTTAAAATTCAAGCAAATGATTTTTACGGTATATAAAAGAGATTTGTAGTTTTCACTGCTGCTAATACTTGGGACAGCTTGTTGAGAGCTTTTTTAACTCTTTCTTCCTCACCCTCCAAAAGGCTAAACATTTGAATTTAATTAGTGTGAAAATTCATAGTTATGTAAAATTATATATTAATATAGTTGCATCTGAAGTTCTAGCTAGTTTAAAGATATTGGATCAAGAAATTAGATTTTTGGAATAGGAGAACATGCATTCATGGAAAGGGATGAAATCTAGTGAAGATTCCTGATGAAGGAAGGGACACAGATACTTGCTGATTTTTTCCATCCCATCTAAACTTACTATACTACTTTAAATATTGTTAATATAAAATATATTTAGCTTGTTTCTTTGTTTCTTATCTGTCATGTTTGCTTTTCCCCTAATGTTTCTCACTTGCATTCTGTACTAAGCCTTAATGTGGTTTGTTAAAAATATTTAATAAATATGTGTGCATCGGTGCGTTGCAGGCAGTACCCCCTGATACGGGCGTACCAGAGCCTACCCGGTCCACCGGGTACTGTTCTGGTA